TGGTCAAAGCTGGGTTGTTGCTAAGGGCAAGAAAGAAAGCACGGAGAGGGGACACTCATGCCCAAAGGTTTAGGATTAGAAATGGCAGAAATAAATATCTGCTCTCATTACCTTCAGATCTAACATGGATACATGGCTGAACCAAATTGCAGGGAAGACTGGGAAATGGGTTAGCCAGGTGCCCAGGACAATGAAGGGAATGGATGTGTGAAACAGCTGGCAGTCTCTCCCTCTAGGCTCAAATTAAATATGTTTAAGTACTTTCTAAATGCTTTTTCTTTTTTAATACAGGAAAATGATCTCTTCTCCAAATAATTTCTAAAGTTTTATCCTCTTGTTTTGGGAAGAAGTGCCCCCAACCCCTGCTACCCAGGGATTTCTTTTGCAATGATGAAAACTGTATTACTATTGAAATACTATTAGGTATGCAATATCATCAGAAGAAAATTTCCTCAATCCTGCAAATTCCCAGTCATGTAGTCCCAAGATCTAATTGGTATCCTCAAATTGGTCAATGTTCAAAAAAGTCACAGTTCCAAAATATGCTTCAATATATTAATATATACAGTAAATAGAGTGAAGATGAAAAATACAATATATGATAAAAGTCCAGAAGTTCAAGAGGTAAATAAAAATTTTCTGAAGTCTTTTGGAGTAGAACAAATGACACAGAGATAGAAAATGCCAGAAGTTTCCAGACTGTGTAAGCATTAGGATGCAGGGGCCACTCAGGGTTTGCCCACTGAGAAAGGTTTGTATCAAGCTTATAAACAGAGTCATCCATTAGCACATATATTTTAGCAGATATTAGCATAAATTACATTACAACAATAAATAAAATAATTTTATTGTATTTGCATATTGAAGTAATTTAAAGCTTTTATTTATACATGCGTAGTATATATATTTATATAATAAAACTGTTTTAAATATATATGTAAATATATATATATACATTTTACATAAGTATATAAAATCACTACCATTGTGTGTGTGTATATGTGTTCATGTTTATCTCATAGTGACTATAGAGTAGTAGAGTTACTGGGAACCCACTAAAAGCTTGTAACTCTCCTTGGGAAGAGTAATTCAGTTTCTAGTAATTTCCTGCCCTTACCTTTGCTCCCATATTCTATTTAGATCATTTTGTTACTGATAATTTTAAATCCTAAGCATTTAATTTTGATTTTTTTGTATGTGTACAATAGCTATTTAAACTGAATGGCATAACAATACTTTTATAGTTTTATTAAATCTAATTTATGTGAAGAGACCAGCAACTGTGGATGTATCGCTCATGGTAATAGATTATATGCTCTATCAAAATGCTGCTTTTGTTGCTTCTCCAACAGGTGTAGTTTCAAGTATGGTTAATACTAAGCTACAATATCACACATATAAAAATTATCAAAAGAAGTTTATGCTGTTGACTCATTACTCCCATATATATTGTTATTACTGAAAGTCACTAGATCTAATTCTGTTGGTTTTCTTCCAGACTGAACTACAAAGCACAGTGTTTCTTAAGTCATTTGTAGCTATCCACTATGGATATTAGAATTACAATCATGCTGCATTGTATGAACAACGATTAAAAAAAATATTTACACATATGTTAAGCAGGTGACCAATGCTATCCAGGTTTGAATATGCTGAGTGTTCATATAACTGGTATTTAAATTTTTGATGTGTATTGCATTTGTTACTGAATATCAAGAATATGCTATTTTGCTTATATAGAATAAGTTCAAAATGGGTTTTTTTGTACAAGTACTCATCCTGTTCAGAATGATATAACAGAAGCCTGAATGTTCATATATCAAACAAAATGCCAGCTTTCTGTGGAAAATAGGTGTCAAAAAGTTTCTTTGTGTCACTAACACATGTGATTATGTAGTACAAAATGCAGAGTTTGTAAAATTTCTTGAATACACAGGCAAAAAAAATGAATAATTCAGAACAACTCATAAGTTTTGCATTCTATTGTCCCTTTATAACGCAGGGAGAAGATAACAGTCAGTATGCTCCCAATAGAGCTGAATTTGCACAAGTTACACCTCTGAAAATGCCAGATGGTTTATGGTCTACTTTTGAGAGCTGTCACATATGTAAAGATTTGAAAAAAGAAAGACAGCTGAATGAGAGCAGTGGATCGTTAAAGGGAGAGTGAGGGTCCCTAGGCATCACTTGTGTTTTAAGAAGCATTGTGTCATTCCCATATTAGCATGTTTTTTTTAAGCCATTAACAACTTTTACACAATAAGAAAAATCTATTTAAAGTCAAGTAGTTATGGTTTAGTCAGTCAGATATTTTTGTTCTTTATGAAATAATAAAATTACTCTTCTTACTTGTTTTTAGTTGTTATTATTATTTTAAATCCTCACCTGAGGATATGCTTATTGATTTTAGAAAGAGAGGCAGGGAGAAAGAGAAAAAAATAACACTGATGTGAAAGAGAAACGATTGCCTTCTGAATGCACCCTTACTGGGGATCGAATCTGAAACCTAGGTATGTGCCATTACCAGGGATGGGACCCACAACCTTTTGATGTATGAGTCTGACCCACCCAGCCAAGCCAGGGCAATTATTATTTTACTGTAAGAATAGGTGTCACCCATGAATAATTATCAATGAAACTAAAATAAATGTTTCTTGAGATAACCAATATATCTAGGGTCTATCCAGTTTTGTTTTGACATATGTACTGGATGATGCATTTGACAGAATCATATAACTAGGAATGTTTTAATGTTAAAAAAAAAAAGAAAAAAATAGAATGGAGAGATAGTACTTGGTTATCTGACCATAAAACCATTATTTTTACCTGATTGTAAAAATAATTAGGTGACAGTGAAACAAAAATTAAGGTACTGTAATTTATCTGCCAACAGAAATAGATGTCATTTTGAAGACTGAGATATAGATACATTATTACAGATTTGTTTGAATATCACTCCAGCCATACCCAGTAATTTGCCTATAGTCAATTTTGATAGTAGAAAAAGGTCAGATCTGTCAGTTTTAGAATTTGGTGGCAAGACATAGTTGTCTTTTACAACCTTTATTTTTATGTATTGAGAATGTTTAACCATTACCTAGTGATTTTAAATTTATCTTGGATTATGGAATATGACAAGACATTTTTGATAAGAAATCTCCCCAGCATTGGTCAATGACATTTCAGCTTAACCAAGCTCTCAGATTGCTTGAATTATTCTTTTCAGAAAAAAAAAAGTGGCCCAGTATGTTCCATTTATTGGTGAAATTACTGGAAAGTGGTCTGAAAAGAGCACCAAATTAGGTTTAACTGTCTTCTTTGGCATTCCTTTAAATAAATATGTATAACTAGCTTTATGTTTAATAGCAGTCATTAGGATGTCATTCTCATTGATACAAGAAATTACAGGAGAGCATATTAATCTCTCGATCAAAAGATTACTCACCCATAAGAAATAGATCTGTCCAAGTTGCCTTGATTGCCAATTTTAGTTATATGAAGGACATTTATATCTTTTAAACAGAGAAGTAATCCTATCTTCTTTTTTTATCTTTTCAATAGAAATTGTGAGAAAACTAAAATATTTTGATACATTTTACAACCATTACTTGGTGTTATTCACAAATATTTAATGTTTGACAATTTTTCTCCTTCGTTTATTGTTGGATAACTTAAAAACTATGAGATATTCATGTATTAGTTTTATAATTTAGGTATTAAGGGTATGAGATCATGCTTTTGTAAAAAAAAATCAGTTTGTCTTTCTTTTCCTTGAAATCTGTACATTTATGAGTAGAATATTTTGATATATTAAGATGTTTATCTTCAAAAGACATATAGGATATGGAACAAAAATAGACATAAACAGTATGTGCTAAAGACATTCTTAAACACAAACTACCTTCTTTGTAAAAAATATATGCTGAGCCTTAGCTAGTTCCCAGATCACATAAAATCAATCTTTTAGACATTATTTGGTTTTGCATACAATAGGCTCTCTAAGTTGAAGAGTTCTTAGTATTTCGACTTAATTTACAATGTATAAATGTTCATAATTATAAATTGAAAAGAAGACTAATTATATAGCAGTTTTAGATTCTGAAATTCTAGGAAATTATAAAAGAGTAAAATTTGACAATAATGGTTTTTGTTATTGCTGTTTTTAACTGAAATGCTTTGATTGATAGCATTACTTGGGAGCTATACAATCAAGATAAATGTTGATTTTAATAAGCCCATTATTTAACCAGTATAAAAAAAGTAACCATTTCTGGAGAGATTAGAGCTCCTTAGCTGCAAAATCAGAAACCATGTTAGCTAATTTAAATAGAAAATAAATCTATTAGCAGCACAGAGACTCTCAAGAGTTACACAGCTAAAGATCATGCCTCTATATTCAGCCGAGCTTCTTTAAAGTAAACCTCACTGATGTGCTTTTGGCCCACGGGTCTGCTAGGAGTTGAACATCAAACACTGAACCCCACAATATTTCTCTATATTGTCTAGCTTTGATACCTGAATCCGTTGTTCTTTTTCTTTTATTTCAAAAGATAATTTAGTAGTTTACCATTATCTGGGATAGGAAGATAATACTTTTGTGTCTCTGGCACCCATAAGAGGACCTGGTACATAGAAAACCATCTACTTTTGCTGTTGAATGAGTGTTGAATTACTTTTTCAGATTTCTAATTTCAATTTTGTTAAAAAACAAAACATATTTTTCTTCTTTTTTAAAAAGTTCTGTGTAATGTTGCCTTTGATGACCCCCTTTCTCATTTTCCCTTTTGGTAAGGATGCTTTTCCTATATTTACTTATTATTATTTGTTATATATTTTGCTTATTATTACTATATACATACTTATTAGTGTTTTAATTTTTCCCCCTTTCATTTTTAGTATTATGAGTAAAATTCAAGAAAAGTCTATTATGGAATGTATTTTATTTTAAAGTATTAATTAATTTTTTTAACCTAATAAACTTTTTCTGCTTTTTAACTTAGCCCAACCTCAGCGCTTGCCTCAGCTTCTAACTTCAGCACCAGAACCAAGTGAGGAGGAAATAGACAAGATAAAGAACTGCCACAAAAGTCTGAGCAATGGAAATGGAATTCACCATGGGGCCAAAACTATATCTGCAGAGAGTCAAAGACTTTCAGCTCCCGTTTCTCAAAAAATGCATAGGAAAATTCAGTCCAGCTTGTCTGTAAATAGTGATATCAATAAGAAGAGTAAAGTAAATGCTGTCTTTTCCCAAAAGCCAGGCTCTTCACCTGAAGGTAAGTTTGAGATACATACATATTTTATTTGACCATGTGTAAAATCCTATTCACTAATATTTCATAATTATTTGATTGAGTAAACAAATGAAGAATATTACTTATCTGTAAAATGCAGCTTAAATCCCTAAAGAAGAGCACAGGCTGTGGAAGGAAGCATTGGCAGCTGATATGCTGCTTTTAGATTATTGTCTTCTTGAGTGAGTAGTCATTAGTTTATATATAACTGTGGGCTGCCACAGATGAGAATAAGTCAACCAAGACATGCTCTGCTTGGGGAGGAAAGGTGGCCAATCTCAAAGGAGAAGGGCCAAGAGCCTTTTCCTCTGTGAGCTTTTATCGGGTTTGTTTAGCATTGGAATACAGGTAAAGCTCATTAATCATTATCAGGCAGTAAGGTTCAAACAATAGATAACATACAAAGAACTCTGAGAGTCTATTTTGAGTCAGGGTCCAATTAGCTAAAGAGCCATAAAACTCGAAGGAACAAGCTCACTTCCTGCTTGGATCCTTACCATTTAATTGAGAATATTCTAAACAAAGCAGGTTTCACAGGACTTTACACATTCTTTGTTAGCCCTGATCACCCTAGGGAACCCACCCTTTCTAGCACAAGGCTGCATCGACCACCAGCATTGTTTCAGGCTTAAGTCAGGCAGGGGAAGTAAGGCAGCCAAGAGATTAGGAGACTTCTCGCAGACAGAATGAGGACTTGGGCTATGTCAAAGCAAGGGGGGAGGGTCCATCACCCCCTTTTGCTGTAGCCCCCTGTCTTAGCTATCATGCCTGTCTTAGGTCATTCTCCCCTTGGGGAATCTTACCTGTCATTGGCTAACGGGTAAGATTATGGGGGGGGCAATTATGGATGAAGTAAAAGGAGCAGAAGCAGTGCTCCTGCCATGGAGATAAGCTTTGTCTCCTTAGTGGCTTATGGTCCAAAGGTCGCTCACTTAGCTTTAGCTATGGCTGGGATTACAGCCTCTGAAACCAGGCAGGGTAGTTCCCAACATATAACTACTTCTTTTTAAAAACCACATTTAGAAATATGAGTGTAACATTGTGGTGCCACATGAATGTACGAGAGTATTTTTTTTGTTTCCGGTTTAATATGCTATTATGTGGTTTAGAGATAAGATTACTTGCTTGCAAATCAGTTCTTAAATACGCAAAACAAAATCAGGAAAAGATTTGGTAATTTTTATCTTCTTGCCAAGGAGTGGGACAAGTAATCTGTGTTGCTTAACTGACCAGCATCTTTCAGCTACCCTGCCCCATTCCAAGCTCACTGTGGTCTGGTTGTTAGCTCCTCTCAGGAACTAATTATTACCTCTTCAACTCTGTCTTATCCTGCTCTTGGCCAGGTTAAAGTCAGGTTAAGTACTATGAACCTGAGAAAGTTTTTTTTTTAAATTTTAACACAAGTCCATGTCATGACATGTATTTATAACAGACTTCTTTATTTTTTATACAAATGGTTTTCAGTATTACATAAAAAAAGGAATAGTCTTCCTCATATTTAGGATTCCAAATTTCTCCTAGCATATCCATGTTCTTCTGTTCTTCCTCTCTCCACTTTAACAGTTCTTAAGCATCAAAACACTCAAATATTCCATCACATATATATATGTATGATAATATATATGATAAGATATATATCTTTTTAAAGATTTTATTTATTTATTTATTTATTTATTTATTTATTTATTTATTTATTTATTTATTGATGGGAAAGTAGGGCAAAGAGGGGAAAGAAATATCACTGTGTGGTTGCCTCTTATGTTCCCCCTACTGCGGACCTGACCTCTAACACAGGAATGTGCCTTGACAGGTCATTAAACTGGTCACCCTTTGGTTCTCAGGCCAGCACTCAATCCACTGAGCCACACCAGCCAGGACTATATATTTCTTATTTCCTTTGCCTTTCTATTTTAATTGCCATGAAGTTTTAAATAAAGGAGATTCTGTGGGTGCTTCTGTGAAGTTGGCCATGCTTATTCATAGAGATAATTTGAGTTGTAAATAGAAAATTTACATAGAAAATTGTATAGAAAGTTACCAGTAATAAGTAGGAGAAAGAATATTACATTTTGGGTATAGGTGCTCAAATTCAACCGAGGTAAAGTGTTAGGTTGATCGAATGATATGATAATAAATGGTCTGCATAGTTCCAGGTCAGTGACACTACTTTCCAAACTAATTAGATTGAAAGGGACATGATTGACACTTTAAAATTAGTTTGACATGTTAGCTATGTGGTCATCTCTGAAGCATGGGTAGGCTGTTAACTAAACTGGCTCTCCAAGGAGTTGGGAAGGCAATGCAATTTTCTTTAGACGATCTTCATTTTCAGGTGATTCGGTGAAATAATTAAATTCAATTGAAATCCACTTGTTTTTTACATTTAAATTTACTTAGTATATCCCTACCCTCTTATTTTTCATTTGATATTTGCTTATTATAAAAAATAGTAACACATATTGATCCAATTTAAAATTGCTTATGAAATTTTTATAAAATTTGTTACTATTTGCTTACTTTCAATATCATGTATGGATTTATTTCCAATGTAAGAATGCAGCTTCCTAAGCAACGTAGGAAGGAAGAGGAAAATCAATAGTATATAAATTAAATATAGATCTGTAATTCCTGTTCTCCTCCCTCTCTCTTTTCCTTTGTTTCCTCTTCTAACATACTGATAGCCCACCACAAAGATATGGATGAGGGAAGTCCCTTATAATCCTGGTATTATCACAAAATCTGTTGCAGATTGGGTTTTGGGGCTGTGAGAAGTATGAAGCACAAATGAAGATGATTAAAAATACTGTTCCATGTGCTATCCCCAGCTTTGCTGTTAGGCTATAGAATTTCGCCATTTGTAAGTTTATTTTATTTTTAGTGCTTAAATCTAGATGAAAATTTCATTGTCCTAATTCACATTTACTCAGATGTGTTTATGCTTTTGCTGCTCTTTATTAAGGCCGTGACCTAAATTCTTTTTGTTTCTTCTGATTTTCAGTTTTAAAGTTAAGGTTATTTTCTTGGCAATGCACCGTAGTTAAACAAACAAACAAACAAAAAAACACACGGGGCGGGGAACAAGCATAGAACTGGTAGATGGGAAATGAAAACGAGAACGTTCTTAGCTCTGCCATCAGATAGCTGGGGGACTTGGTTTTCCCTGGGGCTTCTTTTTCTATAAAATGATGTGAATGTGTGAATTAGAAATCTTCAAAGTAAGTTTCAGTTCAAGATTTTGTGATACTGTCTTTACAGCAAAGCTGCTTTGCTCTACAGACAGGTCTTTTGCTTTACAGACTACCTGGGATGCTTGGTTGAGAAGAAATATAATACCTGTGGAATAGAATAGGGCAACAGCAGAAATGATTTTGATGACATAGTATCTGGATTTCAGGAGAATTATATTTAAGAACAGCAAGTCTTGAACAGGCTTGATTTGTTACACTAATAAATTGGATATAAATTATTTTTTTAAAGCAATAACAATAGGGAGATTTAATAGCTAGAATTTTCTCAATTCTGTTTTTTGTTTGTTTTACATTTTTCTTTTTTATCAAAATAAGCAAACAAGTAGTAAAATAATATTCACTGAAAACTTCAGAAATCAGCTGACCATGCTGTTTGACAATGTGTGTTTTTTTGTGAATAAATGGTGATCATGGTTATGCTCTTTGTATTGCACATAAATAATATCGACAAGTAGAGGGGCATTTTGTGATTCCGATGATAGAATTAATATTTATTATTTTCATAGTATTTCAGTAAGGGCCCTAAGGACTTCTTTGCTGATCATGTTTGAAAAACACTGCTAAGATATGGGCCTGTTGCTTATACAAAGGTAAAGATTGACCCAGCCACATAATTGAGACAGAGTTGGTGACATGTTAAAATATGTTTTTGACTATGGGTTGAGTACACATAGACAAATAGACATGTGCTCCATCAGATTATTTTTTAAGTTGTCTTGATTGATGTAGTTACTTAGATTTATACTGTGTACCTGGTATTGTTCTGTTTCTCTCATAAGAACTCATTTAATCCTACCAGCAGCACTATAATGCTATGAACTATATGTAATTATCTAATTATAAATGAGGAAACTAAGGCACAGAAAGGTTAATTAAAACCATCAGAGTCAATTGGTAAGTGATAAAATTGAGATTTAAACCCAGATAATTCTGAATCCACAATCTATGCTACTAACCACCGATGTTTTGCCTTTTTAAATTTCTCTGAGAAAAGGATAATTTACTAGCCATTCCAACATCACATTGGATGTTGCTGTTACAGCTGTGAGTGAAGCAGTGATCTTCTTATTACTATAAGTTTGCCTTCTTGAAGCCCTTCTATCCAAAATTTTAAAAACATTTCTTACACCTCTACCCAGTGTTTGTTTTCTTCCCTACTAAACTCTAAATTATTGAAAGACTGGACTGAGTCTGAGTCTTTTTTTTTCAATTTATGGTGATGACCAGTATATTAGCTTCATAGACTTTCCCTGGAATTAGTATGCAATGCAGTGTTTTTACTAGCACTAAAAAATAAATATGTGAAAAAAAATAAATATGTGCTTATATTCATTTAAATAAATGTTCTTTTGAAAAGTACATTTTATGTGGTAGAGAGGAAAATACTATGTGAGAAAATATAAAGGTTTTAAATTAGTAGTTTCTACTTATTTTTCTTAATTAAATATTTTCATACATAATTTTTCTGATTGCATCACCCACATGTAGAGTTTTGAGACTAAATGTTTAAGATTCTTCACATTCGAAATGATTATAGTATAATTTATTTTCTTTTTTTAAAGAAGATTTTATTTACTTACTTTTTAGAGAGAGAAGGAGGGAGGGAAAAAGAGAGGTAGAAAAACATCAATGTGCAGGAGATACATTGATCAGTTGCCTCTCACATGCTCCCAACTGGGAACCTGGATGCAACCCAGGCATGTGCCCTCACTGGGAATCAAACTGGTAACCTTT